GGGGGGGGGGGGGGGGATGTCTCACTCGAGAGGATATGGTGATGATGATGATGACGATGACGATGATGATGATGATGATGATGACGATGATGATGGTGATGATGATGATGGCGGTCGTTCAATGCGATGGCTGCTGGTCAACTGCTCACTATGCTTGCACTGCTGTGCTGGACTCTGCTGGACTCTGCTGGACTCTGCCCATCGCTGCCGGTTGCCTCTCGCCCAACAGTCGGCGATCGCAAGGGCGTCCAGCACACAGAATACGGCATCAAGGTCAAGGTACGCACGACCCCCCTCCCTGCGTCCCTCCCACACCCGCTCCCCTCTCCCCCCCCTCCCCCTCCCCCTCCCTTTATCGCCACTCATGCATCATTGCATCACAGACACATGACGGTCAGTACCGGGTCTACCGCCGCTACCGTGACTTTGAGCGACTGGTGACCAAGATCGCCAAGGGCCGCAAGGCTGCCGGCCTCCCGCCAGTCGCCGGCCTTCCGGCGATGCCGAAAAAGTCGCTGCTTTCTCGATTCAAGTCGGACGTGGTGGAGAAGCGCAAGCGGGCGTTCAACGATATCTTGCAGTTCCTGCTGCAGGCTGAGCCTGACGAGGGCAAGGCGCTCTTGTCGTCGTTTCTCGCCGAAGGCGTCGAGGCCGTCGGCGACTCGTCGCTGCAGAAAATCCGCTCCAAGGCCATTGCAGTCAAGGTCTCGCTCGCCGATAAGAAGGCCGACGCCCGCCGCGAGACAACTGACCGCCACCAAGCCTCGCTCTGTCGCGAGTGCAAGGACGATATCAACTACTCCAAGAGCCACTGCGCATCGTGCGCCTCGCCGCTTCGTGCTGCGTCTCACGGCCAAACCTGTCGCGCCTGCAACATCCCGGCAACTCGCTGCTACAAATGCAACAAGGCCGGCGCCGCGCCCGTCCGCGCATGCGTCGAATGCGCCAAGTTCTGTCTCGCCTGCGAGGAGGATCTCTTTGATGCCGAGTGAGTAAGCCGCCGATCACCCCGCCCTACCGCCGCCATCGTAATTGTACTGCCGCCGCCCGTCCCCTCCCCCCCCCCCCCATGGTTGTCAGAGATAAGGGCAAGACAAAATAAAGCAGTTGGCGCTACCAAAAAAAAACCCCTCCGATGTCCCCATTGAAGGACCCTCTTTGTCTGCGTCCCCGTGACATGGGCAACGGCTAATTCGCACGAGTAACCATTGATTATGGTGCAAGAGAGTTGAGCATGGTTCTGAGCTTCGCTCACAGCCGTTCAAGGTCAAGGCCCTGCCCACCACGACCTTGACCAGCACTCCACCACGCAGAGAATCATGGCGGACTACGAAGCTGATTACGACGCTGACTACGCAGAGCAGCCTGTCCGCGAGCGCCGCTACCGCAAGAAGTGCTTCAACTGTGGCTCGGTACGCCTCCCCCTCCTCCCTCCTTCCCCTCCCTCGCTACCCCCTTGCCGTCGGTTGGCGAGGCGGTCGCCGGTGCCTCCGTCCCAAGGCCAGCAAGCCTCCCACACCGCCCCCTTTGCGCCACCTACGCCCCTACGCCTCCCCCTCCAACCCCTGTCCCATTCCCCTAATCCCTCCTCCTCCCCCATGCCCCCACCCCTACCCCCCCTCCCCCCCCCTCTGTGCGCCTGCCTGGTGGAAGACGGCAGCAATTTTTGGGAAGGCAACCAGGAGAAGAAGGCCATGCCATGCCATACCATGCTGTCCAGGGGGATGGGTGACGGACCCCCCTCCCCTCCCTCCCTCCCCCTCCTCACCCTCACCCTTACCCTCCCTCGCCCCTCTTCTACGACACCTACACTCACTTCCTTTTCTGACTACAGCTCGACCATCTTGTCGTCGACTGCCCGTCCGAGGTCAAGCTGTGCTTCCACTGCCAGTCGGCCGACCACCTGGCGTCCGAGTGCCCGACGCCCATGCCGCGCGAGTGCTACGTCTGCGGTTCGATCGAACACGTTCGTGCGGCATGCCCGCAGCGCCCGGCGCCGGCTCCGCGTGAGCCGCGTGAGCCGCGCGAGCCGCGTGAGCCGCGTCCGCCCAAGGCCAAACGCAAGAAGCGCTGCCACATCTGTGGCGAGGACGACCATCTCTTCCGCGACTGCGATCAGTACGACCCGGACCTGGCGGCGGCCAAGAAGTCGTGCCACAACTGCGGCGGCATGGGTCACATCCAGCGGACCTGCCCCGAGCCGCCCCGCGAGCCCGACCAGCGCCCTTGCCACCACTGCGGCCTGACCGGTCACGTCAAGCGTGACTGCCCGGCTCTGCAGGAGGAGTAACTGGCCCTGTCCACATACCACTCTCACTCTCAACTTGCGGCTGGCGGTATCGCTGGCTGCAGACTGTTCCTCGGTTTTCCGCGTGGGCGAGAGCCACGCGTCGCCTTCCCACCCTCGTAAACGAAGATGTGCTTGCTTGGTGAGACCCTTGCCTTGCCTGGCTTCCCTTCATTCGGCCGCGCTATGAGTTCGCCGCACCCGCCGCCGCGTCCGCTTAAGGGATGGCAGCGACGGTGTCGGTGCCAGGGGCGAGCTCGATGCCGCCGAAACGTGCTTGACCGCCACCGCGAGCTGATGCTGGAGCGAGAGCACCAGCGCCTTGGCCTTGGCGTGCTCGGCGCGCTCGTTGCGGAGCTGCGTCTTGAGTGTATCGATGGTCATTTGTGACGGTGCCTTGGGCGACGCGGGCTTTTCCAGCGACGCTGGTCCGTCCGGCCCGCGTGATGGGCCGCCGGACTCTTCGGCGGGCCGACGCTCGCGACTCTTACGGGCCAGTGGCGACGCCGGTTGATGGGCCTCGAAAAGAGCGATCGTGTTTTTGGCGTCGGCAAGCTGCCGCTCAAGAGCGTGCTTGTCGTGAATGACCTTGTCGAGGTACGTGTGGTTCACGTCCTTGCGCTTGGCCTCCTCGACAACAGCGACCTGTGCAGCCTGGACCTCGAGCTTGAGCTCAGGCACCACGTGCTTCTCGTAGTGGATGAGCTTGGCGAGGAGCGTCTCATAGCGAGCGTGCGCAGTCTCGGCCTTGTGGCGGTACGATGCCAGGTCGGCTGTGAGACGGGCGATGGTGTCGTTGGCATCGCCGAGCTCACCCGAGAACCGGCGTGCATCAGCTTGGGCCTGAGCGCGATCGGCCTCAGCACGGGCGACCGAGTCAAGCGCGGTATGGACCTGCTCAGCGTACTCGGCGTCCTTGCGATTCTCGGCGGTGCGGACGGCCTCCATGATCCGGTCGCGGGCTGCGATGTACTTGTGCTTGATCTCCATATACCGCACCTTGTGGGCGTCATACTTGAGCCCAAGGTGGCTGTGCTCGCCCATGAGCGCCTCGTACTGTCGTGCCCACTCGGCGTTCTTTGTCCGCAGCGCCGTCTCCAGTTTGGCCTGCACGTCAGCATACACTGCATGCTCGGCCTTGAACGCCTCGTACTCCGCGAGAAGGCTCTTATGTGCCTTAGTCGTGCTCGACAGCTGGGTCTCGAGGAAAGCGCCACGCTCGAGCTGAGTCGTCAACTCGGCGATCTTGGCCTCGGCCTTGGCGAGCGCGTCGTTGACGTGAGCGCGGTGGGCAGTCTGCTCTTCAGCAAGGACCGACTCGCGCTCGGCAGCTGAGCTTGCTGAGACCTCCGCATGGATGCGAGCCTGCTCGGCTGCCTGCAGCTCGTCCTGTAGCGCAGCAATCTGGGCCTGTTGCTTGCTTCTAGCGTCGTGGGCGGCGTCGAGCTTGGCCTCGAGCTTGGTGACTCGAGCAGACGTGGCGTCGAGCGACCTCACGGCTGTCTCGAGCCTTCTACTCGCGGTCGCAAGATCGTCCTCTGCAAGCGCCGTTACCCGGGTTTGGGATGCAAGCTGCTCGCGGAGCGCTTGGATCTGGGCCTCTTTCTCGGATGCCAGCTGCTCGCGGGCAGCCTCATGCTCAGTGATGAGTTTCTCACGCACGGTCTTGATCTCGGACTCTTTCTCAGCAACCAACTGCTCGCGGACGGCCTTGATCTCGGACTCTTTCTCGGCAACCAACTGCTCGTGTGCAGCTTTGTGCTCCGCAACCAATTGCTCACGGACGGCCTTGATCTCGGACTCTTTCTCGGCAACCAACTGCTCGTGCACGGCCTTGATCTCAGTCTCCTTCTCAGCAACCAACTGCTCGTGCTCAGCTCTGTGCTCCGCAACCAATTGCTCGCGCACGGTCTTGATCTCAGTCTCCTTTTCCACCACAACCTGCTCACGGACAGCATTGATCTCGGACTCTTTCTCGGCAACCAACTGCTCGTGCACGGCCTTGATCTCAGTCTCCTTCTCAGCAACCAACTGCTCGTGCTCAGCTCTGTGCTCCGCAACCAATTGCTCGCGCACGGTCTTGATCTCAGTCTCCTTTTCCACCACAACCTGCTCACGGACAGCATTGATCTCGGACTCTTTCTCGGCAACCAACTGCTCGCGGACGGCCTTGATCTCAGTCTCCTTCTCAGCAACCAACTGCTTGTGCTCAGCTCTGTGCTCCGCAACCAATTGCTCGCGCACGGTCTTGATCTCAGTCTCCTTTTCCACCACAACCTGCTCACGGACAGCATTGATCTCGGACTCTTTCTCGGCAACCAGCTGCTCGCGCACGGTCTTGATCTCAGTCTCCTTTTCCACCACAACCTGCTCACGGACAGCATTGATCTCGGACTCTTTCTCGGCAACCAACTGCTCGCGGACGGCCTTGATCTCAGTCTCCTTCTCAGCAACCAACTGCTCGTGCTCAGCTCTGTGCTCCGCAACCAATTGCTCACGGACGACCTTGATATCAGTCTCCTTTTCCACCACAACCTGCTCACGGACGGCCTTGATCTCGGACTCTTTCTCAGCAACCAACTGCTCGCGCATAGCCTTCATCTCGGCTTTGCGCTCAGCAACCAACTGCTCGCGGACGGCCTTGATCTCAGTCTCCTTCTCAGCAACCAACTGCTCGTGCACGGCTTGGACTGAAGCCTCGCGCTCAGCAACCAGCTGCTCGCGGACAGCCTTGATCTCGGACTCTTTCTCAGCAACCAACTGCTCGCGGACGGCCTTGATCTCAGTCTCCTTCTCGGCAATCAACTGCTCGCGCACAGCCTTCACCTCAACCTCATTCTCAGCGACACGCTGGTCTCGATCCGCCTCAGCCACGGCAGCAGCATTCGCTGCAGACGCTGCAAGGACTTCAAGCTCAATTGCACGTCGTTCCAGATCCTGACGCTCCTGATCCAGCGTTTCGCAGCGTGCCTTCGCCTTGCCGAGCGCTTCCTCAAGCTCCTTCCGCACAACGTCTTGCACACGTCTCTCACGCTCGCGCGCCTCGGTCGTCGTCGCAAGCTCGACCCGTGCTACATCACGCTCACGCGCAATCTGCTCGCACTTTTCGCTCGTGCTAGACACCTCAGTCTGCAGCTCACGCGCCCGCTCGGCAATGATCGCCAATTCAGCCTTGGTCTCGCCGTGCGCCTCGGTCTCGCGCGCCATCAGCACAGACACAGTTGCCAGCTCGGCCTTCGCCTCGTCGCGCTCTCGGGACGCAGCCTCGCTGGCCTGCTCCGCCGCAGCTAGTCTCTTGCCCAGCGTCGCCTCCACCGTCGCACGCTCAGCCTGGGCCTCGGCCAGCCCTTGTTCGAGATCTTCTCGAACCCCCTGTTGGACACGAGCATCGCGGGTCCGCGCCTCGGACAACGTACCCAGCTCGAGCTTGAGCACGTCGCGCTCGCGGACAAGCTCTGTCTTTTCCGCCCGCACACTCTCCAGCAGCGCCACATCGGCAGTCTGCTGCTCAAGCGTGTGCGCGTGTGCAGCGCGTTCGCGCTCCAGCTCGGCCTCAGCCTCGGCCAACCGCACTGCGATGGCCTTTTGGGCCTCACCAGCATCCGCAAGCTCTTGCCGGCAGCCCGCAAGTTCTGTCTTGGCATCGGCCGCTGCAGCCAGACTTTGGCGCAGCTCGCTCGCCAGCTCTTCAACCTTGCACTCCGCAGTGCTCCTCGCAAGCTGCACCGCTTCAAGCTCGGCCCGACACTCGTCCAGTTCGTCCGCAGCATGCTTTGCCGCATCCTCGGTCACCGCAATCTCACGCTGCAGTGCCTCGAGCTGTAGCTGCAGCTCCGAGCACTCTGTCCGCCGTGTGGCAAGTTCGGCCTCGCGCTCGCTTACGCTTGCTCGCAGATCATTAGCCACTTCGGCGTGCGCCTGGCGCTCGCTGGTCAGCTCAGCCTCAAGCGCATCCATTTTGGTCTGCACTTTGGCAGCATCGTGCTCTTGCTCAGCAAGGCGACCCTTGAGAGCTGCAATCTCGGCCTCCAGTCGTGTCACAACGTCAGCTCGGTCGCGCTTCACCATCGCTATGAGCTCTTCAGAGGACGCTTGCTGCGCCTCGAGGTGGAGAGTCTTCTTCTCCGCCTCGCGGATCTGAGACTGGAGCTCGGCAACCTTGTCCTGCAAAGACTGTCGTTCGTCGAGCGACGTGTCAAGCTTGGCCTCGAGCGTCTCCACCCGTGCCAGGCGCTCTTCCAGGCTCGCTTCGGCCGCCCTCTGCTCAGCTTCGGCACGTTCCAGCTGCCGCTGCGTCTCGGCGTGCGTTTCGCCCGCTGTCGCCAGCTTGCCCCGCAAGCTCTCGACCTCGGCGTGCGCAGCCTCAAGCTTGGCCTCAACTTCGCTCCGTGCCACCCTCGACACTTCCTCCAGTGACGCCGTCGAAGCTTCCAGAGCCGCCACCCTGGCTTCAGACTCTTCATGGAGCTCAATAACCCGCGCCTCGGCCACGCGCGCATCTTGCTGTGCCGTGTGAAGAGCAGACTGGAGCTCGGCAACCTTGTCCTGCAAAGACTGTCGTTCGTCAAGCGACGTGTCAAGCTTGGCCTCGAGCGTCTCCACCCGTGCCAGGCGCTCTTCCAGGCTCGCTTCGGCCGCCCTCCGCTCTGCTTCAGCACGCTCGAGCCGCTGCTGCGTCTCGGCATGCTCGCTCGCGGCTGCAGCCAGTCGAGCCTCTGCTTCCAGTCGCGCCGCCTCTTCGCGCTCGGCCCGAGCAACAATTCGTCCGTGGGCCTCCTCCGCTGCTTCAAGCTTGGCCTTGTACTCGGCCCGCGTCCGCGTCAGCTCGTCATGGCCTCTGACTCGCGCCGCCTCGGCTGCTTGTGCTGCCGCCTGGAGCTGAGCCACATGCGCAGCGTCTGCATCCTTGGCGGCGCCTGTCTCCCGCACCGCGGCTTTGAGCTCAACAATCTGCTGCTGCAGCTCGTTGCGCTCGTCCAGCGAGGCATCAACGCGCGCTTCAAGCACATCTACCCGTGCCACACGGTCGGCCAGAGCCTGTTCGGCAGCCTCGCACTCGGCCTTGGCATGCTCGAGCTTGCGTTCGGCCGCAAGTCGCGCTTCGGCCTCGTGTTCTGCACGCGCTGCGTCTGCTTGTCGCACCTTCTCCAGTGACTCGATCCGAGCCCGCAGCTCACGTAGCTCTCGCTGTGCGGATTCGGCTTCGGTCCGTGCAAGTTGGCTCGACTCCTCCAGCGACGCTGTCGACGCTTCCAGCGCCATGCTCGTCGCCTCGGCTTCGTCTTCCAGCTCGATGGCCCGGGCCTCCGCCGCGGCAGCGCGACTCTTGGCCTCACGGGCTTGCACCTGGAGCTCGGCAATTTGTTGCTGCAACTCAGTACGATCGTCAAGTGAGTTGTCCAGCTTGGCTTCGAGCGCCGCGACCCGGTCAGCCCGCTCGTCTAGACTCTTCTGCATCCGCTCGAGCTCCGCTCTCGCCTCGGCCTGGTGGCTTTGCAGCACGCGCACCTCAGCGTCCTTGCCCTGGAGCTGCTGGCAAAGTAGCCCAACCTCTTCGCGGACACGCTCCAGCTCCGCAACTTGATCCTTGGCTGAAGCTTCGGTTGATGCCAGTTTTGCCCTGGCACTCTCGTGGTGCTCACGCAGAACCCGATGTTCCACCTCGAGCTGGCTGCGGGCCTGCTCGGTCCGCTGCAGTTCCTGCCGCACCGCTGCCAGATCGCCCTGTACCGCCTTCTGCATCGAGCCGTGCTCTCTCTGCGCCGCTACCGTCGCGACCAGCTTGGTCTCCACCTGCGCCAGCTCTTCCACCTTGGCCTCGAGACGGCTTCGCTCCTCGTAGGACGCGTCGAGCTCGGCCTCGAGTTGCTTGATCCGCTCTTTGCGCTCGCTGGCGCTCTTGAGAACCCCAGCCAGCTCAGCCTTGGCTTCATCGCACTGCTCGCGAAGTACACGGAGCTCGACCTCGGACTTGCTCCGGACCTGCTCCTCGCTCCGAAGCTCCTCGCGGACCGACGCAAGCTCGGCCTGCGCCGCCTCTTGGCTCATCTGGCAGTTCTTGAGCTCAGTCGAGAGGTCCGCAATCTTGCGGTTGTGGTCCTCGCGAGCCGTGGTCTCCGCAGCCAGCGCGTCAGTCGCGTTCTTGGCTGCGCTTTCAGCTTCAGCCCGTGTGGCCTCGAGCTGAGCCTCCAGCTCGGCACGTGCAGCACGCGACTTGTTGAGCGCCTTCTCCAGCTTGCCCTCCAGCTTGGACCGCTCCTCCAACTCGGCCGCGTGCTCGATCTGCTGCGCAGACCATTGTTCCTTGACAACGTTGAACGCGTTGGCTGCCACTGCCAGCTTGTCGTTGTACTCGGCCACCTCGGCCTCGTGGGCAGCCTGCGCTTCGGTCACCTCGCGCTCAAGCGTCTTGTGGGCTTTGGCAAGAGCGTCGTACTCGGCTTGGACACTCGCCAGCTTGCTGTTAGCGGTGTCAAGTTGCCGCATCAACTCTGGCTCAAGCACCATGCCCGATTGGCGGAGCGCGAACGTGGTCGACGCCGGAGCGTTGGTCTCGTCAACCGCCGACGCCAGCTCGTCAATCCTGGTCTCCGACGACTGCAGCTGCCTACGGAGCTTGGCAATCTCGCGCTCGTGTTGCTTGCACCGCCGGCACTCGTCCGGCTGGTGTGGTGGGGCCCGCAATGGAGCACCGAGCGGAAGCGAGCCACGCCGCTGGGTCAACCGCGACCGGGTCGCCGGATCGATCTGGCCTGCCGCGTGGTCAGGCATCGACCGGTTAAGGCTCGAGATCGATGGTGAGCGCGACCGCCCGCGCAGGCTCGAGATCGAGCGCTCTCTCTCGGGCGCCATCGGCGAGCGCGCTCTGGCCAGCGCCGCGTGCAGCCGCGAGTTGGTCAAATTGAGCGAGTGGCCCGACGAGTTGAGCCGTGACCGTCGTGCCGGCGATGGCGATGCCATCCGCGAGCTCGACCCAGCCTTGATCGGTGAGGCTGGTGGTGAGGCCAGCCCGATTCCCGAACCATTGCTTGCCGTCTCGGCAACGGTATCCGTGGACCTATCTGCGCCTGTGCCAGCGGCGCCAGCGGCGCCAGCGGCGGCCTTCTCGCGGACGGCAGTCGAGAGCTCCGGCCGCTCGCCCCAGCGTCGACGCACATCGCCGGTGGTCTCAAGCATCTCGTCGCGGTTGGGCGAGGTGTACCATGAAAGAAACTCGTCAAACGTGACCGTACCCGAGTTGTCGCGGTCAAGCAGACTCATGACAGCTGTCATGGCCTCGTCGGTCACATCGTAGCCGCAGTCGACAAGATACTGGCGAAACTCAGCCTCGTCCATAATGTTCGAGCCGTCGGTGTCGTAGTAGTCAAAGATGTGGCGGACTTCTTCGCGAGACCTCGTGTGGTCACGGAAGAACTCAACGTAAGTCATGACCGACAGCTTGTCGGGCTTGTGTGAGACGTCTGCGGCATCGAACATGATGGGAATGTCGAACGCATCGTGAGCCTTCTGAAGCGCGAGCTTGAGGTTGCCCTCGGCATCGTTTGGGTCGAGCGCGTCGTAGTCGATGAGTGACGGGTTGAGGTGGTGGACGAGAGCGCAGAGGACCATCCCGTTCTGAAAGTTGGTGGTAAAGTTGCGGACCGGGCAGCAGGCGTAGCCGTGCAGCTCTTCGTTAATCCACGCCAGCAGCGTTTTTGAGACCGACACGCCGTCGGCTCTGATGTGAAAGTGGCGAATCATGGACCAGACAAGGCCGAGGACCATCTTGCGGTCGCCGTTCCTAACCGACTCGACCGAGCACGAGACGACCACGCCCTCCTTGCCCAGCACATCAAGCGCAAGGGCCACATTCTCGCGCTGATGCATCGGCGACGTTGGGTTCTTCCGGTGTTTGGGCATGGGTGCGCCCATGAGAATCTCCAATGTATTGATGAGGATGGAGCCGTCGGCCAAGTCGCGCGCCAAGTCGGTCACCTCCAACGACCTGCACGCAAGCACGGCGTTGAGCCACCGGGTGAACGCCCGCTCCTGCTTCAGCTCCCACTCGCCGAGGTTGTTCTTCCCCCGCAACGACGACATGCCTCGCCGCCCTGCTCTGCTCGTCTGCGTGGAGTGTAGCCGGTAGTGCTTTACCCTCCCCGTCCCTTCCCCGTGGCGTGGCGTTTGTGCGCGATGAAGTTCGGCTGGAAACGGAGCCTAAACCGAAGCTGATGCGCCGAGCCTCCCACCCACGCCCACTCTCATCACACACATACTCACACAGTGTCATTAATTATGCAACTTGGGCGTAGTTTCACCCGCTACGATGTGGCAGCTGTGGTCGACTCGAGAACAAGCACGATCGGGAGATGGTCCGAGCCGACGACAGAGGCAGGACGGATGATCGAGGCGTGGACCCGCGGCAGGGCGTGCTCCGAGACCACAAAGTGGTCCAGCCTCCATCCGATGTTGCGCGGACGGGCGCCGCGGACCCGATACGAGTAGAAAGAGTAGATCTGAGCATCCATGACGGCTGCGAGAGGGTGGTCGTCGGCGACCGTGTCGCGAAGCTTGCGGTACGTGTCGACAAGGCCGGCGCGGGCGCAGATGGCCTGGAACGAGTCCCGTTCCGCCGGGGAGAACCCTGGCTGGCTCTCCTTCTTCTCCGGGTTGGCCACATCGATGGCAAACGGCGCAACGTTAAGATCGCCGGTCCACACCACAGCCTTGCCCGGTGCAGCCTCCCGCAGCTGCTCGAGGTACGCGCCGAGCGCCGCATCCCAGACGTCGACTCGGCGGCCAAGTCGCACGAGCTTTGGCCCGGCGTTGGGCGTGTAAGTGGCGACCACGATAAAGTCATCAAACTCGGCCGCGACAAACCGCCCGTCGCTCTCGAGCTCGTGGCCGCCCATCTCGAGTTTGGTCGTCACATTGAGCCACGGGATCTTGGAGAGGAGCGCCACGCCCGATTGGCCCTTGTTGGCCGAAGGGACCCAGACAGCGTGCGGAAAGTGGCCGAGCCCTGCGGCAGCGACCGTGGCCGCAAACGCTTCCTCGTTCGCCACCGCTTCGCTGGCCAGCTTGAGCTCCTGAAGCGCGAGGACGTCTGGATCCTCGCTTGCCACATAGTCGGCCAGTCGCCCGTCGCGGGAGGCAGCCTTGAGCGAGTTGATGTTCCAGCTCACGATCTTGACTGTCCTTGCGCCCTCCGCCTGCTGAGCGCTGGGAATCGCCTCGAGCTCCAGTTCACTGTTGGTAGCCTCGGCCCGCCGCTTCTGATCCTCGGACATCGGTCGATCGGCTCCGCTCCCGGCCTTGCCTACCTTGCCCTTCTTACCCGCCTTGCTTCCCTTGCCCGACTTGATCCCTCCCGCTGCTGCTTCGCCACCACCGCCTGCTCCGCTTCGCAGCGCCCGGCGCCCACCAAGCGTCTTGCCCCGCTTCTCCGGTGAGCTCTTGTCCTTGGCCTCGGCCTCGGCCTTTCGTTTGCGCGGCATGCCTCAACCAGTAGCGTCAGAGTCGACTGCTGACGACTAACGTTGGGGACGAGTAAAGGGACGCGGGCGTGTCGCCAGCGCTCGCCATGACAACAGCTGACGTCTATGCGATGAAACAGGTCACTCTCGACTTTACTCCCCATCGATCACACGCCCCAGCCAATCTGGTTGGCGGCATACGACGACGAGCTCGAGCTGGACGACGAGCCAGAGCCTGTGCCAGATCCAGATCCAGTGCCAGTGCCAGAGTTAGAGACAGAGCCCGACGCCACGGCGGCAGCCGGCGCTGTGCCCGGAACTGCTCCCGAGCCAGAGCCTGACGAGCTGGACGAGGACGAGCCGGATGAGCTGGATGAGACAGGCGGGGCCGTGGCGTCATGGACATGGGTGCCCAGGTCAACCTCACCATCGCGAGCAACGAAAACAGGGTCGGACGACGAGGTCGACGACGGGGTGTTGCCCATGGCGTCGCGGCGGGCGTTCTCCTCCTCGATCTGGTGAAGCTTGTTCTCTGCCTGGACCTTGTCGTAGTAGATGAAGCCGTAGACGATGCAAAAGACGACAGCAATGCCGGCCATAGTGCCAAAACCACCGCCAGCCGCTCGTCCTTGTCCACCTCCGAGTCGGACGAAGCTGCGGTGTTGGTCACCTCATTCTCGCCGGCCTCCTGCCCGATGACGCCAAGCACGAGCCACAGCCCCAGGAACATCAGTGCCAACTTCATAGTCTCCCTCATTGCCATGCTGTGTGTTGGGGAGGAAGAGAGGGGGGGGGTGAGACGGGGGGGTGGACTTGGTTTCTGAGTGTAGGCAGCCAGGCACGCAGCCGGACACACACACACACGCACACACACACACGCACACACACACACACACACACACACACACATAAATACATATACAGGTAAGACTGTAGCATGTGCACGTACATCAGCTCAGGGTTGTCAAGATGGGTGAAATGTCTCAAGTGGGGTTGGGGGGTGGGGAAAGGGGGGGGGTGCGTGGGTGGCGGGGGAGTGAGTGGTGGATTGGCAGCCGAGGACAGTCAGTCACTGTGGACGGAGACAGAGCCGGGACGGGATGCGGTGGGGGGGGGGGGGGGGAGCCATGGGCCTGATTGTTTGAAAAGGGCGGAAGGATACAGAAGAGGAAGACGGGGAGGAAGAGGAGAGGGAGCATGGCGATGGAGAGTTGGTACCAATGGTTGCTGAAATGGCTTGAATGTTGCCCTTGGCCTTGCCCTTTGTCATCTTGGCCTATATGACCTCCATTGTGACCCCCCTGGACCCTGACCCCTGTCCCTTTCCTGCCCAGCTGGGGGGGAGGGGGGGGGGGGAGGGGGGGGGGGGAAGGGGGGGGGAGGGGAAGCACCCGGCCCCCAGCCACCAAACCACCACCCTCGCCCTCGCCCTCGCCCTCGCCCTCGCCCTCGCCTACAACCACTCCTCTCGGCGCCCCTGACATACATGGCTGGTGCGTACTTCAGGGAGAGAGAGAGAAAGAGGGTTCAGTCAGTG